CCTGTTCATCGTGTATTTGCAGTCCGGAAGTGGCAGCTGCCCATGCAGATGAATTCCAGCAGATCAATGGTGGTACTGTGTCCATAGGAACCTGAAAAGAACCAGGCAGCCCCTGCTTTCCAACCCATGTGTTTATGGTGTGGCCAGATTGGCTGATGAAGGAGTTTTGCTCCAGTTATGACACATAGGAGTAGACAGGGCAGAAACTTCCACCTTTGATCCAGACACTGGGATGTAAACTATGCCCAACAGGGGCCATGATAGGCAGTTGTAGTTCATTTCCTATTAACCTGCTCCTGGGATCCTGCCTCTTGCTCCAAGTTGAACACTCCCCGTTCCCAGCCAGGCTGTATGTGTTAGGTAAATCTAAAAGAGAATCTTTGACTGGGAGCTTATTCTTTCATTCAACAGTTACTAAACATTTACGATACACCAGATACTGTGCTAAGTATTAGAGGAAAACCCAAATAAATAAGATATGGTTCTTAATTTTAAGAAGCTGAAGGTCTAGTAAGAAAGACAAAAATGTACACAAATAATTATAATATGTGACAAGTGCTATTTCAGTGCCAAACGCTGTGGGGACCACAGGAGGAAAGAATGAGTTCTGCTTAGGTTCAGGAAGGCCTAAGAGAGGAGGTGATTTTTGATCTAGATTTTACCACATGGAGGAGACAAGAGTGGCATTCCAGGCACAGGAATTACGGAGAAGAGAAGGCAGGGCATCATGAGGATATTCAAGGAATCGTGTGTCCAATGTGGCTGGAGCAGAGTATTCAGTAGGGGCAGGTAGGGGCAGGTGAAGGGAGAGGTGGGCATGGACCAATTTGTAAAGGGGCTTGAGAACAATGCTGAGGAGACAATGCAAAAAGGAGCAAAGGCAGGTATTTTAAAAATACTATATATTTTGAAAATCTTTAAGCCAGCAGAAAGTCTGTTGCAAGTGTTTAGGTTGGAGAGTGATACCATTAAGTTTGTGTTGTGGATGGGAGCTCTGGGACAGTGTGGGAAACGGGCTGTTGCTGAGGATGAGAAAGCTACGAGAGACAGGGAGACCCACTGGGCGGTTGTTAAAAAGCTACAGGCAAGAAGTAAAGAGGGTCCCAAAGAGGCGGGGGCAGGAAGATTGAAGAGCAGGTTAGTGGGGTGCTAGACTTGGCAGGTCCCTGGGGACCGGTTGGGTAGAATGGTTTGGGGAGTCAGTGATGATCTAATTTAATGGATGGGGTGAGGAGCTAGTGATAGGGGTGAACAATGCGGAGATCCCAGCAGGAAGCTCCTGGAGATGGGAGAGCAGATTTCTCTACTTTCCACTTAAGATAGCAATTCTCAGCCAGAATTTAAGGGCTCTGAGCTGGGAAGGGCCAGCGGCTGCATTCAGCTGGCCTCTGTCCTGGGATTAACCTTTAGGATATTTGAAAACAACTATTTAGCCTTCCCTCAGCTTTCTCATTATGGAATAAAACCATCTCAACTCTTTTAATCTTCCTTCCCTCATGGGCCTTAGATCACTTGGATTGATTCTGTTTTCCTCCATCACACTTAAAATGCAAAGCCCCATGAATCTTTCTTAAGTTATACATGTAATTAAGTATTTTATGTGTGCTGCGCACACGTTTACTATAATTCCCACATTTAATAATTTATAGTTATTAAATACCTACTTTTGCTGAAAAAACGGTAAACTTTTTTTACTTCATTATTTGTCATCTTCCCACTAAATATTCACTTCTAACAATTTATTGGCCAGCCCATACCATAGTTATGGGCACCCACCTCAGGAGCAGAGCTCCACTTCTCATGACTCTTCGTGCAGAATTGCCATTTGGATTAAAGTTCCAGAGTCAGATCACATTAAGGAAGAAGCTTCCTTTGGCAAAACATAAAATGAGGGGACAACTACATCCTGTCAGGAGCACCCTGATGGTCCAGCAAGGTCTTCTAGGAGCTCCAAAGACTAATTTGTACTAGAAAAAGTTCTGTGCTAGTAACTTGGAGAAGTTCTCTTTTGACACAGAAGAAAAACAGCCTGGGAAGAGGCTGTTTACTCTCAAGACTTTGTAGTTATACAAAGAAGCATTGACTGAGCAGTAGTACCTCCTTTAATCATTTTAGGTCTTCTGGATACTTGGCCTGGCAGGCGAATGAAAAGATGGGGGAATTTTAGGAAGCTCTTGAGTTGTACTCAAAGGTGTTCACAGAGCTGTTTATTGCCCGCAGAGAATTCTTAATAATTGCTCTGCAGGTTACAGCTTAGAGAACCCTCTTTCTGCCAGCCTCACTCCTTCGGGAAGGGTGCTTTCTAGCTGCCTCAGAAGGAGCCTTCTAGAGCTGGGGTCTCTGTGAAGGTGCCTGTGACTTGCCATGCTGCCACTCCTCCAGTAGATCCTGCTGTTGCCCTGGGCCCTACCTGATCAGCAAGCCCGGGGTCCTTTGCCTCATCTCCCTTATATACTGTGGACTCCCTGGCACCTTACTCTTTACTCTCTAGGATCCATCAATGCCTTCAGTCTCCTTATTCTCCTCTCCTTCCCTCTAGCCAGCCTTTCTTAAGTGGAGTTCCTTATCTAAACCATAGTACTTGGAAACAATTTTTTAAATTCTCCTGAGGATGATAATACCATGATGCAATGGATCTCTTAGGGCACTGAGGCTTAATTCTGCCATGGAACTCTGGGTGAGAAAGGCTACTTGGGCTTGTGAAATATTTTTCCAGCTTGGGGATGGAGATGCTCTAGTCCCCTCATCCTCCTGTCACCGATGACATTTCTCTCAAATATGCTAATTATGTTGGGAATCCTCTCTGATCTACCAAGGGTTTAGGTTTTTGGCAACTTTTGCCAGAAAAAAAACACTCAATGAATTCTTCCATGCAAACCCCTGCCCCGATCAGTGAGTTCAGGATAGCACGTGGAGGAGTTGCATGAATCAGAGAAAGTCAAAAGGAGGAAAATATTAAGGGAGTGGATAGAATTGTCATCTGGTCTGTTACCTTAAGATGAGAAATATCTGTAATTATTTCAAGGTCTGACCCATGGACAAAGAGTAGGCTTCTCTTGTACTTCAAAGGATGCATGTATTAAAGTAAATAATGCTAGCTGCAGAAACAGGTAACTCTTAAGTTCCAGTGACTAAACAGTATAGAAATTTATTTCTTGCCCACATGAGAGACCAGTGAAGATGTGGGTAGGGGTGAGACTCTGCTCCATGTATTAGTGCAGGGATCTAGGCCTTAACCTCCTCTCTGTCTCTAGAGTCCTTTCCATTCTGTTGGCAGATGAGGATGGAGCCAAGATCACATGTGGGAGGTTTACAGGGACAAGGCCTGGAAGAGACACATCATACCTAGCTCACATTCCATAGGTCAGAAGTCAGTCGCTGGCTATAGCTAACTGCAAGGACGCTAGAAATGTAGTCCAACTGCATGACTGAGAAGAGGATGAGGACATGGGTGTGGGTCATAACCAAAGTTTGGATGTTTGAAGCTGTAAGTTTGGGTTCAAAACAAGACACTAATTACTCATGAGAATTAGCATGGTCCATGACAGGCAACCTCATGAAGTAATAAGTTTGTTGTCACTGGAATGTTGGTTGGAGGACAAATTCCTGCCATTTCGACTTTGGAATTCTATAATTACAGTTACCAAATAGCACAGCAATTTTTCCCACCCTCCTACTTCCACTTTTCCTGTAGTGCTGAATGCTTGGTTCGCATTACTGAGAAAAGAGGCATCACACGGTACTGACTTCTGTGGAATGTATTCTTCACTTTTTTTTTTTTAAATTGTAGCAAGCTAGAGTATAGATGCTGAGGTGACCTTGGTGGACAGCAGAAGGGGCCTAAAGGGGCCTAAAGGTCCCCTCTCTGGTGGGTTGTGGGGAGTCAGGCTCTGTGTGTGGGAAGAGTGAGCCCACTCATTACTGAAACCTATGCCTCTGGGGCAAGAAGTTATCATGAAGCCCTTTTGTACCATAGAGGAAAAGTAAAGATGAGCAGAGTTACTATAATTACTGTGAGAATTACATTCTGGAATCCTAGTATTTTGACATTGAAAGAGACATTAGAGCCCATGGAGTCTAGTCTTATTGTGCTGTATATGCAGAGGAACAGAGGGGTCAAGCCCTTTGTTCTTAGGACTGCATAGCCAGTACTGGAAAAGCAGTTAGAACCTGAGTTTCCTAACTCTTAGACCTGGGCTCTATGCTGATCCTTCTACCAATAAAATATCAGGATTTTCCTTTCCTAATGACATTATTCAAATGGTCCTATTCAGTTTCACTGATGCCATGACCTTGTTGGAACTATACAAAGAGAAGGAACCATGGAAGGCAGGAGTCATGGGACCTGGTCCTGCTCTGCTTTCAGCTCTCTGTGTGTCCTGGGGCATGTGGATGGGTCTTAGGCTTCTCATATATAAATTGAAGAATTTGGATTAGATCAGCAGTTTTCAAATCATGTTTCCTGTAGGGAGGCCCAGTATCTTCTGAAGCTCCCTTAGGAGTCCTTTTGGAGAGAAAGAATGAAGCTTAGCTATTTTGTATATCAGTTCCTTGTTAACTTTTATTGGTAGAAGGTTCCGTGCCTTAAAATGGTTTGAGAACCACTGGAGTAGATAATCTCTGAGGTTCTTTCTGTCTTTAAAATTTTATGTCTCTTTGAAGTGTACTTTATAAATTCATTATTAAGTCACTTTATATAGGGGATATCTTATTAATGAAATAAGACACAAAGCTGTGAAAAGTTAAATAACAAACGAAAATTTGCCACTGCTTGTCACAGTTGTAGATGCAAATGACTTGAGGGTCAGTAGGTAATAGAAAAGGAGGAAGGAATACGTTATGGGTTGAGTTGCATGCCAGCTCCCAGATTTACAGGTGGAATACCAACCCCCAGGACCTCAGAATGTGACTATATTTGGAGATGAGGCCTTTGAAGAGAAAATTGATTTTATATGAGGTCATTAGGGTGAGACCTAATCCAATAAGACTGGTGGGTGTCCTTGTAAGAAGAAGGAATTCAGACACAGACACATACAAAGGGAAGGCGATATGAAAACACAGGGAAAAGACAGCCATCTCTAAGCCAAAGAGAGAGGCCTTAGAAGAAATCAACCCTGCTGACATCTTGATCTTGGACTTCCAGCCTCTGGAACTGTGAGAAAATTAATTTGTGTTGTTTAAGCCACCCAGTCTGTGGTACTTTGTTGTGGCAGCCCTAGTAGACTAAAATAGAACGTGTGTGCTTATATGTGGCTGTTTGTGTGTATGTGTGTAACATGAAAGGGAGTGGTAGAGACTGTGGTAATTTTGAATGAGCTTGTCCTGACCCAAAAAGGCAGGTGCTCTTCAGCTTAGCTGACTGGTGCCACGTGGGGATGCAAGCTCCATGTTGCCAGATGTTCTTAATTTTCAAGCGAAGCTAGAAATTTTTTTCATGGGAAATCTTTCAATTTTTAAGATACTACACGGGCCAACGAAACACGACTACGGTGTGAATTTGAACTACAGACCAACGATTTTGACCAGTGACCCCATGTTTAAGGAAAGAATTTAGACGTGCGCTCTTGAGTCAGGGTATGACCAGAGAGTAAACATGAAGAGATGAGATACTGAGTTAGGAGTCAGGACACTGGGCTGGCTTCCGTGGCCAGACTGTCTCGCTGTTATACCTTGAGCCAGAGTTCAGTTCCCGTTCCTGTCAGAGGAAGAGACTGAACTGGTCCCTGCCAGCAGAGCTGATGGGAGATTTCAAGTCTGAGTGCCATATTCAGTAAATATCAGAGAATTGTGGCCAAGATAATTACTCTCCATTTAGCTATTTTTCTTTAAGAATAAAGGTTTGATCTTCTAAAGTCTCAAAGAAAAAGATTGAAAGTAATTAAGGATTTAAGTACACAGAAGCGGATAAAATAGCCCCATTCTCAGAAAAAGCTGCTTAAACTGGAAAAAGAAAAACGAAAAGAAAGCAGAAGGAATTGCTCCAAATAAATGTCATTAGAAATGTCGGGAAAGAGGGTAAAAACGTCATCCTTTCTTCCATTATCAAACTTCTCAGGGTGCTCTTTTGCGTTGGAGTTGTCACTGCAGGGTTTTCTTGGCTCCTTCTTTGTCAACACTTCAAGGACAAAGTATGGTAGACATGGAGGAATAATAAAAATTATTAAGCCCTTACTATGTGCCAGGGACTTCACACATACAGGCATTTTTGTGGTAACAAAAAATAACACTTCCCAGAAAATTTTACTGTCTGCAATACTTAATATAAAAAAAATAATAGAATTTATGGGGAAATAGGGCCAAGGTGGACCATTCAAATCTCATGAAACTCTGATCAACCAAACAGTCATTGCTACCTGGGGAAGTCACTTGGACTACTTTGGCAGCAGCGAGTGTCTAGAAGCTGCTATGGGGGGTATTAAAATGAACAAAAGCGATAGAAATGGAAAGCTAACTAATTAGACCAGGTCTGGCGGGGGTGGAGATGGCGCTCTGAGTAAGTGGAGCTGTTGTCACAGTGGGCACAGGAGGCAGGGCAGCCTCACACAAGCTGAGAGCTCCTGAGGCAGGGGTATGCCTGTTGGAGGAGGTAGCCTTGGATGTAGGTCATTTAAAAA